AGTGAACAACATCTCAACCTGCAGCTGGGCTGCCGTGAGTCGCTGGCGACAGTGTAGGCTGTAGCCCCTGCTGCAGTGGGTTGCCATGGGCTACCATGTGTAGCCAGCAGCCAGCATGGGCAGCTGGCGGCTGCTGTGAGCAGCCATCCAGAAGCCGGTGACTGATTTGCCTCGCCTGGGAAGAGTGCAATGATGGTATCAACTTGGGCCAGTGAAGCAACGTCCTCCACAACTAGACTGAAGAACAAAACGACAGCAACTTGTCTGTTCCCCTTCCCGCAATTCCCCAGTGTTGTTCCAATTCCCCAATAAAAAATAAAAATCTTAAAAAAAAAAATTTATTTTGACTAAACAAGTGTATGATATATTCCTGTTACCAGAAACCAAACAGCCCTAAAATGAAAGTGAAGTGATCACAACTACCAGATTGTTTATTTAGCCAGGAATCTTAGCCCCAGCAGCAACCCAACTACAGATTATTATGGTATTTTTTCTTCCCTAATGTCATTCCTCTAAAAAAGAATGGCATTGTAATGATTGAAATGGTTGACTCTAATATTTGCTATATGAAATGGTATATTCACTAGTTTGCAAATGACTGATAATATTGATTCCAAATTTTTCAGGCTCAAAATATATACATTAGTAAGATCTGTGTATTATCCAACATTATTTGATTAATTTAAAAGAAAAAGGAGTTGTCGCTTATCAGGCGCTATCATATTTGTCCGTAACCCCCATTATGTACAATTATGTCATGAACTCTAGTTTGCCTTGGCATGTGAAGAAATTGGGAATTAGCAATATTGTATGTCTAAAAGTGACATTGGCATATTCTTGGTCATTGTATTGATGGTTTTGTGGCTTTTTTTTTCTTTCCAAAACCGGTCCCTAGTAACCATAGTTCAGCAAATTATTGAACAGATTGTAAATATATGCTTGCATTCTTCCTAGTCATTCATTTCCAATCCTATCTTTTATCCTGCCCATTGTGAGAAGTACTAAGATTTATTTCAGACTTACTTAAATGATGCTATTATGTACAAGTATAACATAAAATAATTTCAAATATACAAAATGAATGAATTATGATGATTCATTCACCCTCAATGTTATCAACAACTAATATTTGGGAGAGAAGAGATTTTAATAAGGAGTACCTAAAAGCATGCAAGTTACCTGACAACTAGGAAAGGGCTGTATTTCCTTCTGAAATAGGACATGGTTTAGAGATTGCAATGATCCCTTCCACCGAAAGGATTATTCTACATTTATTTTACCTATTTAATCATGCAGTTTTTTAGGAAGCAAGGCAGGCAGTAAATTTGTGGGTTTCGGATATCCCTGTGTCCTGCCACTCAAATGCAACCACTGTATTTGTTTTAAGTAATTTCAATTATCTAATTTTTATGAACTGATAATTACTAATATGGCATATCCCAGAGTTTTCCAAGAACAAACAGTTTAACAGGACAATAAATGTTATTAAAGAAAGATTTTTATGGCAAAACAAATCTGAGAAACATCAGATAACAAAGATAAAGTGGTTTCTTTACTGCAGGACTTCTCAGAATCTTTAACACGATAATATGTGTTGTGAATCTACACCAGAGAGATAACCTTTTTCATACTTTTACTATGGGGTTCTTTTTAAGTATCTTGTGAAACTAGAATTCCTCAATATGTGCTTGAGGAAATCAATAATCTCCTAATCCTATAGAAACAATACTCATTCAAATTACAAAGAGGTATAGTGCAAGGTCTTTGTTTAAATTTAAGCTGCAAATTACTACGATGTAAGTGATTTATTCAACCTGTGTTTTAATCCTCTACTACTATCTGTGGCAAGGATTAAAAATATTAACAAATGAGTAACGAAGGCAGTCAAGTTGTCTGACATGAAGGAAAACTCTGCCCTCCCCTGTCTGGTTAATGAGCTAATAATTGAGAGTGCTTTAAACACTGAGCACCAGTGAGACCAAGGAGGTCATCTTTTTCATTAATAAGGAAAGCATATTCGGATACTTTGCCTTGAACAGGTGAGGGAAGCAGGACGTTGGTGGTTCCAAGTATCACCAATATTCTATAACTCAACTCTGCAAACTGCCAGCCACAAGCCTCCATTTGCAAGATCACCTTAAAGGTGAATTGTTCTGTGGATTAATTTTGCAACAGTTGTCCATAGTTTGGGGCCTGTTTGTTCTCCCAGGTTACCAGCTTTCAGGCTAATCTGATACACATTTAAATAAGGATTACTATGATAGCAATGCTTCTCTTTATATAAATAATTTGTAGCTTGAGTTGGATGTGTCCCCTGAGTGTGTATATGCTTATGCATATTTCTTAGAAATCCTAATCATGACAGAGTGTCGTTGTTCTCACAATGTCTGTTCTGTGTCCTTACAAATAGATGGTAATGGTGACAAAAGTTAGGATCCATTCATGTATGGTCGGTTTTTTTTAAAGCATCAACTAAATATTTTTATCCATCATAATCAAGTTTTAAGTCATGAGATTATCAAACAATTTGTTAATACAAAAGGCAAGTAAGCAAAACCAACAACCATACACAAGGCTAAGATTTTAACCTAAAATGAAATTCATAACATTTATTTATAAGTAACAACAAATGACCACTATAGAAACTTGAAATCATTTATTGAAGGCATTTTTATATAATCTTGCAATCATAGTATAGGCATATAATAAAAGAATGTGAGAGTGTAAAGAAGAATATAAAGCCCATGTCTGGGCATTTAAAATAAGAGTTCTTCAAAAAGTTACAAATGTTTTACAAATAGGATTCCTGAAAAATTTGGAAGAAACTAAAACTTCATTAAAAACATTACAATACCAAATGATATGTCACTCAGTTTATAGCAAGCAGTTATATATTAATTCAATGTTTATATCCTGTGAGCTAAGACAACACACTTTACATTCAAGTTGAAATAATTTAGCACCGTTTTAAGGCTTAAAGGATTAATGAAATGCTTTAAAGTATTTAAAAGTGGCCCAGGACTTTTGGTAGCTGGGAATGAAATATAGCTGTTGTTTTAATATATTAATTATGAATGTGAATTCTAAACATAAAAATATAGAAAAGGATAATTTTTACTTATCAATTATTATCCTGTTAGTCTCAGAACAAGTTACTTTTAAAACAAGGTATCTTCTGACCAGAAATTCTGTATTTTTACACAATTCGCTAAAGATGAATTCAGTGCCATGATAATTTTAGTGAACTGCATTTCCTCTAGAATCTAAATATTGAGAATGTTTATGAATGGAATTAGCCTATGAGGTTTCAAAGAGATAAAATTTATTGCTCATTATTACAGATAATGCCTAGAATAATTAGTTACATGATAGAAATTGAATAAAATTATGTAAAAATATAAAGATTTCCTGGAGATAGGCAAGTTATGGATTCATATTTTCTGATAGTCGGGAGTCTGCATCCTAGCATCCAAAAGTCAAGACATCTTTAATTCAGACTGTGGTCTGAATAATTATGAGGCCACTAATAGGGCATATGGAAGACTCACTAAATTATTTTCCTATTGAGCCCATTTTTTCACAGTCTTTATTAGTTTAAAAGCCAGTCTATTTTCAGTACTCAACGTTCTTTGTATCATTTCTACTTCCTATTTATTTTTTTTAGAGTTTGGTAAGACTGAATTTTTATTTTATTAAGGATAACTTTTACCAGCTAGTCATTTTCTGTGTTTTAGTGCTTATTCAGAGAGGCGATCCCTTGAGGTTCAAAAATATTGACTGTTAAATCAATACTTGTGAGTTATTTGGGAGTGTTTAAGGGTGATTGAGGAGGGAGAATGTTTACATAAGGAATAAGTCAGACTCTTTAGCCTCCTAATTGAAACATTTTTTTTTTTCCAAATCAACCAAGTAGTACATGTTACATTTAAAAGGCAGACATTTCAGGGATTGGAAACATATTTTTAATTATCAGTAACACATATATGCATATAGCTATTAATTTTAACTTATTTTTTAAAATAAAATATGGTCACGAAAAACAGTAATGCTTAAAATAAATTTTTTTAGACATGTAGAGTTGTTAAAATGAAATAAATTGAACCTGAAGGGTAATGACATTTTTAATACTTAATTGAGATTAGAAACAATCTTTTTTTATATCCCAGTGCCTAGCATGTGAGTGCCTGGCATATTTAGGATGATGGATGGATAGAAGGCTGGAAGACCCAATGAATGATGGTAAATATGTCTTCTCATGTATCCGAAGGCCATGCTTTCGGCTAGCTTTTAATACAGGGATAACAATCTGGATAAAGCAGTTGATCTTAAATCTGTAGATGCCAGTCTGGCTCAGTATTAATACTGACAGTAGTTGTATTTTTTTTTTAAAGCAAGTATGTTAAAATATCTCTATTAGAAAAGAATTAAAGATTACAATTTGAAAGAGAGGATCATTCTATAATCTTAAAACTATAAAGTAATTTAAGGCAAAGAGGTACATCAAAGAAGCTATCCCATAGCTTAGATACTACTAGCTCAATGCAAGTTCCAGGTCTTTATCAAGCAGTCTGTATTCTCTATTGTAAGTATGCGCCCTGGCACATGTGGGTTGTGTGGCCTGCTGTTATCTACCCTTTGATGACTGTCCATCTCTAGCCATCTCGCCATGCTAGGCGCCCGTGAGTGCAGAATGGTTATTAGTAATCAGTGTTCACTTTACAACTCCATGATGTGTGTGTGTGTGTGTGTGTGTGTGTGTTACATACATAATACAAGGATGCCAACTCGTTTTTCTACTTAGCATGTCCTGGCATTTGAAATACCTTGCTTGAGATTTTAATACTGGTTAATGTAGGAACACTTCTGCTTAAGCATCACTCACTTAAAAGTATAATTTGATTTCTTACTGCACCTTTTGAACCTATGAAAAAGAGAAATTCTCCAAATTCTGTTGTGGCACATGGTTTCACAGTTTAAAAAAGAAAATCGCAGCTGTCTGATTATGCAGCACAGTCCTTGATTTTGCAGAAAGTTTTTTTTTCTCCCTTATTCACCAACCCCTCAAGTATGTAATGCTATGTGCTTTGCGAATTTGAATTATATTTCAGACACACACAAACACACACACACACAAACCATGTATGACTGATTCCTGGATGACCTACGATAAGGTTCCTGTATCCATACATATTATGGCATCTATTCTGGATCATTTAAAATTTCTACCATTCCTCTTTTTTAAAGCGGAACATTAAAAAAATGTAGAAAAGTTGAAAATTCTAATATGTTTTCCATTAATTTTTTTTAAAGTATTCGAGAGACAGTTGTGGCTTGAGGGACTTGTTCATATGATATTTATTTTATGGCAGTGAGGAAAGTTTTTTGGCTAATATTCAGTATACTTAAATGTATATTATCTCTGGATGTATCCCATCTATCATCAGAATAACTTCCCCTTGACACAGTTGTCCTATGTATACCAGTCCCCAAAATGGTAATTTTAAGAATGCCACTTAAAATATCTCTGAAAAATAAGAAAAGTCAAAGAGTACAGGGGAGCATCAACAAATGTTAGACAGGAGTTGGGAAGCTCAGTTACTTAATTCGTCCCAAAACAAAAACTGACCTAAGTCAGAATAAAATTGTACACTTGACAGAAAGAAAGGAGTTTACCTATGAGTTTAAAAATGTAAACATAAATTTTATATAGGGTTGTAACTATCTGAATACATATATTGCCATTTCTCTGCTATATAGTAATATTTCCTGACACCAATGGTAATATGTTTGTTTCTTCCTCAGCACCAAATGTGTCCATATCTATTTAAACAGTAGGAACCGCATTTCTAAATTAATCTATGCCAGGACATATATAAGTCAGTTATTCTTGTGGGTCACTGAAGTTTCAGTGCTTTAGAAAATTCCCAGTTCAAAGTAATTTGGGCTCATTCATTGAAATGTTATTTCCCCCTCTTGTGCTATAATTTCAAAAGGAGCATAAGAAATTTGGATTTCTTTGAAGGAGCCAAGTGTGCACCTACAGAAGTGAAACATTATGTTAATTCACAAAGTAATGTGAATAATAATATTAAAACTTTTTCAAATGTCGATTTAAATGTTCAAAATCCAGTTATGTGCTTTGGTTTAAAACAGTACAAACAAAAATTCCTTTGTTGTTTTCTGTTTTCGTTTGCAAAATACATAAATCCTACTGAAGTTAATCTATTTTTTTCCCCACTTCAGAACACCAGGCACTGATTTATCCATTGGGAGTCTTGGCTTGCTTTTTAATACCTATATTAAGAAATAAAATAAGACAAGTTATTAACCTGATAATATTTTAAATGAGTACAGTAGACAAGTTTGAAGTCAACCTTTTAAAAATTTGAGGACTCAATTTCCCTCCATCTAAGCAACAGCCACCTTCTGAAATTATCCGTTAATATTTTATTTGAATATTATAGACTTGAAGAAAATAACAATGCCAGTAGCAGAGAGAGTATGCCTGATGCCTACTGACTTGATGTTGACAGTGGAAAGAAATACCTTCTGAACCAGTCAGACCAGCATCCCTGCCCGGGGGGGAATTCACTCCATGGAGCAAGTATCATAGCCTCTTCACCATCCTGCATTAGTCCTTTTCCAGCAGGGTTTTGGATGTAGAATGAGGCATTAATAGGCAGGACACTGGGTCAAAGCCAATAAATCAAATATTGGTATGTGCTGGGATTCTGTCTAAGATTTCATTCAAAGAAGGGTTTCAGGACTAAGAAAATTATGAAGGCACCTCCACACATCCCTCCTTTTGTGCGGTATTTCCCTATACTTGTTCTATAACTCAAATTTGTGAATTCTTGATTTCTCCCGAGTAGGCAGTCTGAGATCTTCAGTTGCATATTTTAAGGCAGTGATTTTTCTGAATGTACTTTGAAGAACTCCATGAATTTCTTCAGAGCTCCTTCCTGGGCAATTTGGCGGGAGCAGGAAACCCAGCCGTTTGGGCTCCCGCAAGGTCCCCCATACTGCATATTGCATATTTTACATGTTCAGCCTCAGTGTGTTTGTGTGTATGTCTTGTCTTCAAAACTAAGCTTTAGGATGATAATGCGAGTACATCCCCGCTTCTCTAGCATCGGTTCTAACTAGATGATAGCACAGGCTCGTTACCATGTTCTACCTTGGATCTAGTTTACAAGGAAACTACAGTAGAAGAAACAGACATGTCCTGTATAATGCCCATTGGGAACCAAAACGCTGAGCAGTACTTAGCAAGGCAGATAAGACTCACGGTGAAATTGTGCAGCCCGAGGCATACGCGTGATGTCCTGTGTAGCGGATGTCGCAGCGCACGACATTGTTGGAATAGTCTGACTCAGGCACCAGGTAGCTGGGGTTCACGCTGACCTAGGCAATGCAAACATCATTGTATTTCAGATTGATTTCATCAGCAGTGTGTACCGGTTAATTTCTTCCTGCTTTCACTGGCATGCTTCAGCTAACTCAAGCAGGGAGGAGGGTTAAGGTAGGCAAGCAGTTAAACTCTGAGGAAGTTTTAGGAGGAGCCTGTCTATTCTTCCCTGAAGTTCTTTAAAGTAAGAGATATTTTCATATATCTGGGTTCATTTAGAAACAGTTCTAGAAGATGGATAATTGCTTTCAGGATCGTGATTATTGAAATTTGAATCCAGAGGAGGGGGTCTATTGAATTGCAATTGAAATAAATTACAGGTACATGATTTTCAAAGGTCTCTACCTTTAGAATGTAGTTTCCAGGTTGTACATCTGTAATATCAATCCACTGGCAGTCAATGTCTGCGTTATATGTATCATAACAGCCAGGACTCAACCCCTAAAACAAATAAAATAAAAGATTTTTAAAGGTGGTATTTGGTTAGGGCATGCTAAAGAATATGCTTATTATGTGCAAATTAAATTTTAAGTTAGTACTTACAAGAGTTTGACATAAAACTATACTTATATTGCATCTCCCTTGAGAAGTATATATTACTCAGCCTTATAGCACCTCCAGCTAAAAAAAATACAGGACTAATATAAGTAGTAGTATATCTAGCTTCTTAAAAGTGTCATAAATCACCATTGATAAATACAATCCCAAGTGACAAAATAGGCCTTCACCAAAATTCTACACTATCACCGGTTCAGAAATAAAGGCCACGTAATAATAGATTTAGCTTAAATGTCCTCTTCTCCATGCAACCCTCCCCAACTTCCCCCTTTGGAAATTATCTTTCTGTACACTGCCCATGATACTTTTTTGTGTGTATATCTATTATAATGTTTATCCTTTTCTGTTCTGTTAAAATCGTACTGTATAAAATCATATCTGACCAAAGTTTGTAAGCTCCACAAGGGTAGGGTCTGTGGTTGCAATTTTGAATAACATTTTTAAACATGTTGCATATATAAATTCAGTTCTCACAACTACATGAGGCAGGTGCTGTTATTGTGCCCGTTAAAGTCCCCGTTTTACAGGTGGGGACTCTGAGGCACAGTAAGGTTAAATAACTCACCCGAAAGATACACAGCTTGTAAGTGGCTGAGCTGGTTTTGAGTTTAGACAACTGGGTCCAGCGTCTCTGGTCTTAACTACACTATACTCTCTCTCACATAGTCACTGAAATATTGTGTTAAATTAAAGGGATGAATGTATGCCTCAGTGAGTGCATTCCACATCACTGCACTTGCTAAGATATTCACTTTAATAAGTAAATGAGTGACTTCTACAGGCTGAGAGGAGCAAAACACCAATGAGATATGGTCCTTGCTCTCCAGAAAGTTATAGTCTTAGAGAAGTTTGTTCAAATTGAAGTCTGTAGGTGTATTTGATTCTATTAGTTCTTCATGGGAAATTTTACTGTTGTATTCTTATGCTAATAGTAATCTAAAGTAAATTAAAAAGCATATGCTGGAATCATTTTAACTCAATAGTGCCATTTCATTTCAGCACCCAAAATTGCTTTGGTGCTTAAACTCACTTTGATCACCCAAGAGATGGCCATGTCATCTAAGTGTGTTCTACCAATGCTGGTCTGGCTACAGCTTAATTTGGGAAGAACGGGGAAGAATTGTGCTCTCTTCGAGTGTACAATATACCACACGCGCAGGTGCCCATGCCACAGCAGTGAGGCAGTGAGAACCTAGAGTCACTGTGAGATTGGCACTCTAGGATTATTCAGCTGGCAGAATTTAAGCATGAGCTTTTATTATTTGAACTAGCAAACAAAAAAAGTGGGAGTTTTTAAGGCCATTAAGTAAACAGGTATTTCAAAGTCAACCTTTAAAAACAGACTAAATGGAGGACCTTAGCTGAGGCTGTCTAAATTAGCTATTTAGTTTTAGCAAAACACAGCTGTTTCTTACATTAAATCAATGAGGTTAATGTGACAGTTTCTAGTTTCCTATATATTTAATGTGTAAATTTGTTATCTAAGAACTTAAGAGTTATATGAAAGTATAGATATAAGGAAGTTATAGCTAGTTGTATAGTTGGACACATTTCAGCAATATTATAATGCAACTAATCTAAGTCAACATTGGGGTTTTGTGAGAATTATTTTAAATAAAGTATCAGTCTACTGCAAAACACAAGTACATAAATCACTTGCAATGCAAGACCTAGTGAGTAATGGTTAAATACTACATAAACAGGGGATGAGTAACAGGAAAGCTACCGTATAAAATGAACTGAGGTCATCCCAAGGAATTGGGGGACTAAAAGTGCTATAAGTAAATACCTGTAGTTCTAGATTCAAATATTTCAGCAGTGAGCTGTCCAGGGTGCCTTTCTAAATGAAGAGAATGAACCCTAGGCCCCCTGTAGAGGCAGATGCTGTGGGACCTGAAGATCACAGAGTGAAAAGGGACTCCCTATATGCACATATGTGTAATGTGGGGTATTCTTTGTTTGCTGAAAGAGTTAAGTGCTACCCCAGGACACATGGAATGGAACTTTTTCCCCTTCCAGTTGCTATGATGCCCTAAGCTCAGAGAAAGAAGCAACAGTAACATTTAGGTCACGAAGAAGCTTCCTGCCATAGCCTTGGAATTTGCTTCCCCAGATGCCAGCTGCTGATCCCTTTGTGCCCTGAGTTATATACATTCAGTACTCCTTGCCAAGATTTTGGCTGGAGTAAAATTATAAAGTCCTTTTACAAATTAGAGTTTCTTACGGAAATACTGGCATGGCTTTTAACTGACACAGATTTTCCCATTATAAGACATGCAAACTGCTTAGTTCAGCACGACTTTTCAAAATCCATCCCAAGTACATCTGACATCAATTATACTGTAGGTTTAAATATATATGTGTGCATGGAGAAAGAAATTGTGTCGTTCTGCTCTGAAAGAGACAGTTTTTAAAAGTGCTTTTTAATAAACTTACTTTCTCTCCTTTGCTAGCCCCAGTTACCATTCTGTTTTTAGTTGATTAGGTGGAGGGAGGAATGGTTTTGCAGGTGAGAAAACAGGTATCTTTTCTATAGTTACTTACCAATCCTGTTAAGGAATACAGAATGAGTGCAGATATTAGAAACCATTCAGATTTTTTCAGAGAGTAAAGTGCTGCTTTTATATTGTGGAACGTAATGGGCATGCACAGTGACCTTCTGTGATGATGAAATACCTTAAAAGTAATTTGGATCATCAAGCCATCGCTTTTCTTTTCCCAATTATGTCCATCTTGGCTAGGTCACCCTCTCAATGAAGCAGTTTATAAAAGACAGTCAGGAGGAAAGAAAATAGAAGACCACTTGTTTTCTCTCTGAAGCCTGTGGGATCCTGCTCTCATGATGACAACCTACCTGTGTGTGTGCAGTACATGCAAATCGCCTGTGGTAGCCATAGTCACAGGATGTGTCCTCAAGACAGAAACTTGCTTTGTGGCCTTCAGCCACTCTCCTCTGAGTGCTGGCATCAAGCAGGTCATAGTGGCTGAACTCATCCATGCTGTGGTAATGTCTAATGCCCCACACAACACAGAGACAGCGATCAGTAACGTACAGAGGCAAAGAAATAGGACATTAGATGACTTACCCGCTGCCTCACACATTTAAATTCAGATCAAAATTATTTTCTTAAAGCTAGAGTCATGCTAGATGTTCCTTCCCTCCCAGGGACAGAAATCTATCCAAATTGTGAGCTTTAAACCTTGCTTCTAAGAAAAAAAGGACTATTTTGAATAGTTTACTTTTCTATTACAACCTGTTTTGATCTTTGAATATTAAACAGAAATAGACAATAAATTATCTGTGTTTAAGTGAAACTTGCCCTATGTTCATTAGTATATTTCTCTTGGCTGCCACTACTGATGTTTCCTTCCAAAAAAGAAAAGCACATGAGTCTTGGGAAGTTTCTGTGAGATTTTAAAAAGTTGAGTTCTCATAGATTTAAAATCATTACTGAAGTGCAAAAGAGCAAAATGGCATGTTTTATCCACTATTGTTTTTAACTAGTTTAAACTTTTATTTAGAAATAAAACAATTCTATTTTACCAGGAAATTAGGTGCTCATATCTATTGTTCCATTTTATTAAAGAGAAGGTGCTAAGGTGTTCGCCTTCTCACAGTAAGGAAAGAACAAGAAGAAATGGCTCAAATTGCAGAAAGTTTCAGGGCACACCAGGATTTCTTGGTGCAATTTATTAAGGCAAATTATAGACTTACCTAATGTGAAAATCTTTAAATTTAGAACCGAAAAGACAAAGTCGATATAGGTCTTAAAGATGGAGGTAGGTATTTCTCAGCTCATGGAATACATCATCTACATTTTTCTTTGAGAATGGTATCTGAATTTCTTTTATAACAATTTGTGGTCTTTATTAAATGCTAAGTAACTGTAGATGACCTTCTGTAAGTGACTTCTTTAGAAATCTTACTTGTAGTATACTGGAGTGAAATTCTAGTGAAGCCAATTGCTATTAATATATCTTATCGACAGTTTTTGTTTGTTTGTTTTTTGTTTTTTTAAAGATTTTTAGTGGGGAGTTGGGGAGATGGGAACAGACAAGTTGCTGTCATTTTGTTCTTCAGTCTAGTTGTGGAGGACGTTGCTTCACTGGCCCAAGTTGGCACCATCATTGCGCTCTTCCCGGGCGAGGCAGATCAGTCGCTGGCTTCTGGACAGCCGCTCACTGCGGCTGCTGGCCGCTCACGCTGGCTGCTGGCTACATACGGTAGCCCATGACAGCCCATTGCCACAGGGGCTGCAGCCTACACCATCACGGCAGCCCAGCTCCAGGTTGAGCTGTTGTTCAGCATCTTAGCTCTAGAGGGCAGTGTCACTGGCCCTCATATGTGGGATCCGAACCAGGGCCCTCTGGTGTTCCAAGTCAGCTCTTAACCATCGCACCACTCGGCCAGCCCTCTTATCAACAATTTTAATAAGCTGGATTTAGAGTGTCCAGTCGAAAAGATAACAAGATCTAGTACTTGATGTATTGTATTAAAGATATACTCCATTGGTTATGTCAAATTACATAGAGAAAATTCCAAATGTGAATAACAGCAATTTTCTCCCTTTGTGTAAAGATCATCTAAAAAAAAAAAATTCAAAAGTACCCAGGAGGCTCATCCACTTACTGGTGACAGCTGTGCCATTCCCAGGAATATCTTGGTCGACTTGGTAAGAAATCCGATGTGCCTTGGTTTTTCACTCTTTGGGGAAATCTTAGTAGCACCCTCTGATCATAATCTCTGACATCTGCCCTGTATGCCGAGCTGTGATTTTGAAAAAACAAACATCATTATTTTCACAGAATATTAACAAAAGACAAAAGTATAAGCAAAACCTTTTCATTATATAATGGTGACTATCCCCCGCCCCCAAGAGAACAGGGCATTCTGCTTATTTTGTTCATTGCTGAGTCTCCAGATCCTAGAACAGTGCCTGGCAAGCAGTCAGAGCTCAGTGAGTATTTGTTGACTGGGTGAATGAATGACAACTGTGGAAATCCACAGTTTAAAAGTAGAATTAGCATTAAATAATAAAATTAGCATTAAAATTTACATGTGATAAGTAAACTTTGTATTTATAATCAATTCAAGTTTAACCATATGAATGAGTGAAACTGAAATTATCCCAAAAAATCGTTATTTACTTATTAAGAACTTCAAATTTAACACTATATTTCTGTTTAAAAAATTAAAATGTAAAGTGGGTAAATAATTCTAAAAGAGTACACCCAGATTAGATAAATAATTTTGTAACTTCACTATCTTCAAAACAGCGTTACTATATTAATATCATACAGGGTGCAATGGTGTGAGTAATGCAAGATTCAAGAATGAAAATGATGAGTTTAAATTTCTTCTCTAAAGCCTGACAGTTATAAAGGGTCCAAGTGGAAGAAATATACAAATAAGAATTACTGTGTTCCTTCTGATATATTTTGTGTGAATATACATTCAGATACTATTGACCTTATTTTACACTGTAAAAAAAAAAAAAAAATTGAGACCTATCAGAACCTCTTTTGCTCCCTCTGCTGGCTTCCCAGAAGCAAACTCAGAGAAACCCATTCCCAGAATTGCTATGCTTTTATTTTAGGATTGATGGAAAAACAAAGCTCTTGCTGATGCTCTCCTTCTGGCTGAAGTTATACTAAAACAACTAGGTTAATTGTGGCTTCAAACAAAAGTAGACAACTTGACCTTTGCCTGTGAGGGGTTCCACGCTGGCAGATTAGCCCTCAGTCTTTTAAGTGAGTATTAAGCTCATCCATTACAGTATTTTTTCCACTTTATCGTACAGTTGTCTAATAGAAAGCTATTGGAAACATTTGGGTCCAAAGTTTAAGGATCTTGGAAAGAGAACAGGAGACCCCCCCCCTACACACACACACACACACACACACACACACACACATATTCTCTCTCTCACAC